CAACAAACTCCGTGCCGATCTCAAATCATAGAGCGAGACTTCCTCCTCGCCATTGTTACGAAGCGAACGATATAATCACGTAACAGAAATGCACTACCCTGCTGTTTCATATTTGAGACTGCGTAAAATCGCGCTCGCTCTCGCATTCCTGACGGGCGCATTTCACGATACAGTTTCGCGATGTACTTCGTAACTACGCGAAAATCTTTGCCCATTGTAGGAATCGCGAATTTTTGAAATTTTCAACAACCGTCCGTTCCGTTAATCAATCCCGTTACTTACTTCGAATCTTTCGGCGACGTATTGGGGAGTGAATTGTTTACCACTGTCGACAAGTACAAAAATGCAATGCTTGACAGATAAAATAAGTATTTTCTTTTTACAATATAAAGTATATTATATACAGATATATCACATAAAAAGTACTCCATAAAACTCAGTTGTGAGAAACAGGTGCTCTCTTGCTAGCTAGCATTGCAAGTATTTTGACGATCACAAAATAAAATCTTCAATAATGATCCTTCCGTTAAATAATTTTATTATTTATTTTTGTCGAATCTTTGGGAAGAATATTCGATAGTGAAATATTTTCCAATGCCATTAAGTAAAAAATAATCAATTCTCGACAGACAAAATAAATTATTTCCTTTTACAATAAAAAGTATATTATATAGAGATGCATCAGACAAAAAGTACTCTATAAAATTTAGCTGCGGAAAATAGTTGCCGATATTATTGCAAACATCGCGGCGACTCCAAAATAAAATCTTCTAAAATAATGATTCTGTCAATTAATTCCGTTATTTATCTCTGTCGAGCCCTTTGAAAGAATATTCGGGAATGAAATATTTACCAGTGCCAACAAGTAAAACAATATTTAATCCTCGATAAAAAATAAATAATTTTTTTGCGATAAATAATATATATATAGAGATATATCACACAAAAGAATGTGCTGTAGAATCCAGCTGTAAAAAGCAGCTGCCGTTATTATTGTAACCATCGCGTCGACCCAAAAATCGTCCTTCGCCCCGGGACCCCGAGCGATCTAAACGCGCCGATGCGTATCTCTGCGAGGATTCCGAGAGGTCGAGGGCGTCAAACCTCTCGGCGTTATTTCGCCGTTCGTCGCGGTGAACGCGCGACGTTGATTTAGATGGCTGCGATTTCCGAGTCGGCTACTTGTTGTCGGTGCCGAGAGGCGATTGCTGCTGCATGCTACACAGCTACACGGAAGGCGCGCGGAGTCGATTGTCTCTCCTTCTGTCTGCGTTTCTCTCCAGCCTCCCGGATCCTTCCTTCCTTCCTTCCTTCCTTCTCTTCCCTTCCTTTCTCTTCCCTTCTCTTTCCTGCCCTTGCTTGCCTTCCCCTCGCCCCGGCACGCCGCGCAGAAAGTCGCCACTAATGACACGAAGAGGAATGCTGTCGGGTAGCAGCGCGCGCGACCACGTCGGTAGCCATTTGTAATCCCCCGGGAAAAAAGTCGGAATCAAAGTGTGATGACGTGGGGTGAGCGCGTCGCCGGCTACCTGCAATTAGCGACACACGCTGGCAGCCATAATTAAAATTGCACGAGCGAGCGGTCGCTTTACACCGCGCCGCGTCATACACTACAAAGACGCTCGCCTTCGCACCTCCATGCATCGCCGGGCTTCTTTGTTTCGGACATTACCCACGAGATGATGGCACTTTTTGCGCGTCAAGGAGAGCGGAATTGAAGCGGAAAGAGTTTAGCCCGTCGACCGCGCCGGCCGAGATACTTTCCCGCGACAGGCGATTACGCATTAATCGAAAATCAGATTTCGCGAACGACAACCGCAAACGACGGGAAGAACGTCGATTACAAATTGAATCGCGCTCGTTTTCTCTCGATGCACCTCCATGCTACCGTGTGTGTATGATGAAATGCTTGAAAATTATTAAGAAAAGAGGTGACTCGATTCCTGCATAGAAGATTTCTCCGGATCTAATTGGAATCTACTACGATTTCCCAAAATAATTCTAATGGATTCTAGTTGAGAAATCTGTGCAGATTCTAGTTAGAAGGGTAACTTCAAACATGCGATTTTAAATGGGAAATGTCAAAAGATCTTATTTGGTCTCTCCCCAATATTTTTCCAATGATTTTTCTGCTTTCTACTTTACGCTATGATGTACAAAATATACGAAATATTTTAAGTATTTACACTTAACGAATACACACACACGCGCTAAACGCGAGCTACTAAATATAGTAACATTAAAATATGACTTTGCTTATTAACCTCTGAAGCTGATATGCAGTCAAACTATCATTCGACTCTAGTGATGACATGCGTATGAAGCAATGCCGCAACGCACAGCCAATCAGCGGAAAAGAGACTTCATCCCATGTTTGAGATAAGAATGCGATTTCCAGTTAGTATTGTAATAAGATAATCTCCCGAGAAGAAATAAATCAGAATCTAATAATTGGCCAGGAATTCTGGTTACTATCTAGAAACTAGCCAATTTATTTCGCAGTAACCAGAGAGTAAAACCAACCTGAGTAGAAATTAAACCAGAATCTAGACAGTAACTGTTTAATAATTCAGCAGAAAATTATGTTTCGATGAAACTGGTCAATAACTAGCCAAAAATCCGGGAAAATTTCTATCCGATTCTCTGCGAGATACAAAAACGTAATGAAAACCTTTGTCGAAAATCTCTGATTATCCGTCGATCGCGAGCGTGCAGCGAAAACGTGACGTCCTCGTACCGCGAGTGACTTCAAGCGTCAGATCGCGGGGCTTATCGACGCCGTGTGAAGTCGGCCGCTGGTCTTCGGACAAGAAACGCGATGATCCGTCGCGCCTCCGTCCGGTGGGACGATGACAAAGTCGATCGGCGTAACTTCGTCAGGCTCGCTCCCCTTTCGTGAGCTGGCCGGCGGCGGAGTTAATGCACCGCGCGGTGAGAAGAGCGGACTGTTTTAATTAGAGAATCTAATTGATGGCCGCGGCAGCCGAGCAATCCATAAACGACTTCTTAGGGCCGCGCACCTGGGCACCACGGTGTTAATTACTCTCCTTCTGTGGCGAGGTCCTTCCATCTCCCGGCTTTTTTCCCCGCCGGCACCTTCTTCCTTTTTCGTGCCCTTCCCCCCTGACTACCGGAGCCGTTGCGAGAACAGGACAGAGAAAAAGGAAAGAGGGAGAGAGAGAGAAATTGACGGCGAGAGAAGGAGAGAACGGAAGACAGAGGAAAAATCGGACGAGAATGAAAGAGAGAGAGAGAGAGTGAGGGGGGGGGGGGGNGGGGGGAGAAAGCGAAAGAGAAGACGATTTACGATCGTGAGGTGGACGAAGAGAGAAAAGAAGGACGACAGAGAGAAGGGTGAAATGAAGAAAAGAGGAACGGAGACAGAAGCTCCGAGAGGAAACGCGAGGGAGCGGGAGAGGAGCGGAGCGAAGCGGAGTGAGCAACAAGTGTCCCCCGTCGCGAGGCGCAAAAGCATTCCTAATTACGCCCCTGCCCCGCTCGGAGCGAAACGAGACAAAAAGCGCCTTGATTACATTTTCGTATAATTTCATCGGCCGGCTCTCTCGCCATTAAGAGCAGCCGTTCCGCGCCGCGCCACGCCACGCCGCGCCGCGTCGAGCCGCCGAGCGCGCGCGCAAATTAGATCGATTCCTTAATGCCCCGGGGCCGCGTAATTGGTTCTCATTCTCGGAAGCTGACGGTGAAATCGGATATCTGTCGTGTAGCGCAGAGCCCGGTGGACCGACCGACCGGTCAACGTAATTGCTTTTCGGACTGTGTGGCGTTTCGCGGTTCTCCGAGGACGACAAGGACGCGCGGAGGGCGTCGGAGACGGAGGGAGAATATCGTTAATGTCGCGATACGCGCCTTCGATAATGAAGCGAAAGATGTTGTGCCGACGCGACGCCCCGGCAGCATGGCGCCTTAATGAAATATAAGATTTCACGGCTGTACCTTTTCTTCCCTCTCTTTTCTTTTTTAACTTGCGCGTATTAACGAGTGTTGAAACTCGTCGAAATGAAGTGACGACGACGATGTCGGCGGCGGCGAATATCCATCCGTCGATGACGACGCGAGCGTCGTGTAATTTGCAAGAGCGAGGGAAAGAAACGAGAAAACGTGCAAGTGCGCGAATATTCGGAATGTCGTGCGGTTTCGAGGGGAAAATTGATCCGCGACCGGGGGATATACGTGTCGTTAATACCGTAATACGCGGCCGTAATGAAGCAAGAAATACATTTTCGGCGGGCCACCCGATGGGACGTTAATGGAACGTACCGGAGCTTCGCGAATTTTATGCCCGCAGATTGATGTACCTCGTACGGCGCGCCACAGTGACTTTAGCGATCGAATAATTCGGTCTGCAAGATCGCGCGATCATTCGTGTGAAATCGATTTCGCTAATATCTTGTTTGAATAATGCGTTATCTTTATTTCTTTTTATCCCTGGGGTAGAAATATATGCAGCTTTTCTAGACACCCGTCCAGTTGCTGTCTAGTATTAAGGTATTCTCAATAGTTGTAGCAATACTGCGTAGGAAATGGACAAGAATATTGTAATTGCAGGAGAAACGTTATATTTTGATTGGGACCCCGAGTAGTTTTACTCCTCACTTGCTAGACAGAAATTATTATAACTGTCCAGTAACTGCTAAAAAAATGCGTAAAATTTCTACTAGGGTAATGCGATATTAAGTCCCATATTTTTAACGAGAAATTAAAAACGAGCCCGTAATTCGATCAATTTGATTCGTCGTTCAGCAAAATTAAGACTGCACTAAACTAAAACTGCACAGTAAAAAATTGTACCAACAGTCTACTAAAATTTGTGTGCTATTTTAAACCGTCGTTAATTCTGTCGACAGTGATGGAATTAAAAAAGAAATTGAACGTATCTAAACGCGCCCACATACGTGTGAGTAGCCCTTTTTAGAAGAACTTAACGTTACAAAAAAGTAAAGCTGGCGATGATAAAAACTACGTACTTCATATGTTCACAGTGGTACAAAGTTGACAAGAGAAAGATCCGAGAAGACTTGCTCGACCTGTGGATCCCGCTCGGTACCGGTCCCAACGCCGATCAGCCCGACAAAGCCGCCGAAATTTTCCTCGTGAGATCCGCGGAGAGATCCGACTCGTTGCCCCTGCAGGCTTGGCACTCGTTAGCCCGCTCAGCGTTATCCTGGTTCATCAGTCGAACATCCATAAACGGGTAAGTGCCCATTATGCCGTATCTCGTATTGATTTTGCAGCGAGATACACGACACCGCGTCGCAGAATCTCGTTGAATTTTATTCCTCTTCCTCTCTCATGCGCGCGCCCCGTATCGAGAATGGCGATCGCATTTGTCGAAATTGCGCTGACGCATCTGCCGCTTGACGCGCAAATCTCGCGTCTCTCTGTTTTCCGCGCGAAAGGAGCGACATTGCTGCGCGTCCTATCTCATAATCTCCTCGATGATGAGATATAACGTCCCGGTCCCTTTTAAGCTGAGACTATATATCCGCTCATATATCTCGAAAGTGATAAAATATCACACCGAGAATCATCAATCCGCGTACGAACGACAATGTCGCGCGAGATCGCGTCTCTCTCTCTCGTTCTAATATTCGCAGAATCTGCGTAATATCACAGCTGATAGTACTTACGATGCTTAACAACACCGACTTCGATAGTTTCCAACTTCATACTCGCGTACTTAAGCTCATGACGATCTATCCCCGTGTATGTCGTAGTACATGACGAGAGAAAGAGAGAAAGAGAAGGCGAGTAAGAGAGGTCCTCGATGCAGCTGTACGACGCTATCTATATATGCTAGGGCAAGGCCGAGGGCCCTCTCGCTGAAGGCGAGATCGTTTGCGAGGTGATGAAAGGGGGCCTTCCCTTCTCGCCGGTTAATTAATAACCACGGAGATACGATCTCCGCCTATCTCGCTGTCCGCTGTGCGAGGCTCGACAAGCTGGTGGCAAAGGCCCTGGCATGGCCGCGGGTCGGCTGGCGAGGTGGGCCGTGAGGCCCCCGTTGGGAGTGAAGGAGACCGAGCGAAGGAGCGAGAGAGGGAGGCTGCGCCGTGGTTATTGATGGCCAGCTTTGTTTGCCCCCCGAACCGTTTATTAAAATCCAGCGTGGGTGATTAACCTCGCTCCCCGGCCGCGTCGTCCTGCCGGCTACCAGGCGGCGGGCAACACCTCCACACGTCGCGTTACGTACGTGCGCGTTTGTATATATGAAGACCGCCGCCGTCGCCGCCGTCACGGTGCAGTGGGGAGGAACCGTTTATTAAAATTTCTCCCGACGCGACTATCCGCGGCTACTAGGCGTGACACAGGCGCCGCGCAACCGTTGCTTTCGTGAGTCGGATCGCCGTGCGAGAACGGGGAAGATCGTCAGTCACGCCCGAGGAGGTTGCCGTCGACTCGCCGGATGCATCGGTGAATACACGAATTCGAGGATGGATTGAAATTTCGGAGGGTTAAGAGCTAGCGAGAGTTGAGAAATTTTAGCTTTATGTTAAATGTTTGATTCCTTAACACAGTAGGAGCTAAAGTAGCAAAATAGGTTCAATTTAAATTCTAATGATATAATTTACTCTTATATTGACCCAGACGATGTCTCCTACATTGATGATGTCTTGAATTTCCGTTTTCGCTGTTTCAGTTTCAAAACAAGTTGCTTTTAGGTAATATTAAAATTAAGTCTGTAGAAATAATAATTCAAGAGAGAAGTTAATGAGTATCAGTACCGTCAAGGTAAGTTTTTATAAATCATCTAAATAGACGCAAATTATTTTAAGAGCGTCACATTTGTTACTTAAGTAACATCAAAATTTCGATTTATATGCGACAGAACACGGAAAACGTAGCCGAGTCGAAATTTTGGCTTTATGTTAAACGTTTAATTCTATAACACAGTAGGAGCTAAGGTAGCAAAATAGGTTGAATTTTAATTATATAATTTATTAGATAAGGAATGAACGAATCAATCACAGAATCGGAAATTTTAACATGATAACTTTACGTTCTTAGTAATTCTCGAAAGTGATTGATTAATTCGCTTGTTTCTGAAATTTTACTGCTCACGTTTTTTTAATGCACCGTCCGCTTAACACACTTCACGGAAGCGTGAGAGACGCCGCTTTCACGGATACACATGTCGACCGATACTAATGTTTAATGGTTCGAAAATGTGTCAATAGTCGGTTGTTTTAGACACGGTGCAATCGGCAGAAGCAAATTAGAAATAAATCAGGAATAGAAAGGAGTACTCGATTTGACAAGATAAAAAAAATATATGACTGTAGGGGTCGTTTCTAATTGAGCGGAGAATAAATCATAATCGCGAAAGATCCTTTTATTCCGCTATCGGCGCTATTTTCGACGCAGGACGAATCTCCATAGTCGCCGATGCAACTCAATCGCGCGTCCAGGTGGTAACTGGCGTCGTTCTCACGTCATGACGGCACGTCGAGGAACTTTAGTCACGGTGGGACCAGCTGATCGAAAACTCGACGAGTTTACTACCGGCAATCGCACTTAGGTATTTGTCTTCGTCATCGCGCGAGACGCGCGTAATTAAACCCTTTCGCCACGCAACCGCCGATCCTCTGCCGTTCCTCCTTCGAGCGCGAATCGATTGGTATAATAATCACCGATACACCGCATTACGAGTCGACGATACTAGTCACGCGTATTCCAGTCGAAGTGCGTATTCATCCTCAATTTCGAGATAATTATAATTTAAAATGAGTACAAATAACGTTATATGCGTATGGCGTGTACGACGGTGCGGATGCAGTGCAGCAACATAACATCGAAAAAGCATCTGTATTTCGTGTGGAAATGAATAATATTTAGGTTTCATTAGCTTTATAGAACACAGAATGCAAGAGTAATATTATCCGCTATTAAGGAAAACATGACGTCCTTTTTAGGAAATCTTACCTTGAAGTTTTAATTAACAAACGCCGGCATATACGTGCCTCTTGAATTTATTCCTGGTAATTACTTTGTTTATCAAGCAGAGCATAATTTCATGAAATTGGCGATTGTGGCTCGGAAGAAAAATCACCTTGTCAGAAGTTTATAAATGGCTTTTCAATCGCGACGGGGGAGGGAGGAGAGCGACGATCGACCTTGGATTACTAAATAATTGCCAATAATTACTCGTAATTACGTTAGGCCTGCAATTACAGTCACACGCGATTTGAAAAATGAGAAAACCTTTGCGGCCCGACGTGACGTCAGCACAATTTAATTCGTGTTAAACAGTAATTAACAGTAATCGCTCGCAATTATATCGAGCGTGCAATTACGGTACATTGCGGGATCGCAAGAAACCGAAATAAAATGACGAGGATGACGCGACGATATCGCCGACAGGATCCGCTCCGACTTTGTGGCGTATATTTATTTAAAATGTTAATCTTTGCGAATGTTAATCTTTAAAAATAAATAGGAACACGCTTGATTCGATTGAAATTATTTAGAAAATTACAGGAATCGCGCGGGCTTTGGGTTTCGAGGGATCTGTTTAAGAATCATATACTCTGCATGTGATTTGCATTCTAAACGATTCGCATCTGCTTGTAATCATATGAGCGCGCTTTCGCCCGTCCAATAACACGCGCGCTAAAGAAGCGAGATCGTTGTCGCGAATAACCAACGCGAGATTACATCGTACATCTATTAAGCCATTCGCAGATGAAGCGATTTCCGTTAAATACGTTCCACCACGCTTAAGTGTACAAACCGTCGTTTATACGAGCATGCTTACTACGTGTATGCTGGCGCGTAAATGAAACTCACGTTGAAATCATTGTGAGGTCTTCCTTCGCGCATTTGCATCGGGATAATATCGCAAATTTCATCGGACTCTTTCTCTTCGTCTTTCTGTTTTTTTCTGACACTATTTCTCTCTAACTTTACGACGATTATCTCTTTATTGGTGGGTTGCTACTGTGTCTAATTAATCTGAGCCGAAATTTGAATGCTATTTTGATGCTTTTAAAGATAGTTTGCGCCTGCTTAGATGGTCTACAGACTAACAAAAACCTACTTTGACTATACTTGTTAATTTCTCTCTTGAACCTTTAATTGTATAAAACAACACAAACGTGTGCTGCGCGCGTGCTACTTAATTAATCACTATTTACGAAAGAAAACTTCAATTCATGTAATTAAATAAGCACTAGACCAAAATTTGTTGACAAGAAAATGACATCTTTGTTACTGACAGCCGCGAATCGAAGTAAGCTACAATTTGCATCGAGACTGAGATTTCAGGACAGCCAATTAGCATCGCGGGAAAGAGGCTTTAACGTTTCGATACATTCGAGTTCGAGGTTTCGCTCCTTTAAAGAGATTATCAGGGTGAATGTAGGATTAAATTGTAATTGTTAGAACTGAAATTGAACTTATTTTGTTATCTTAGTTCCTACTATATTAAGGACTTCAATGTTTAACTTAAGGCCAAAATTTCGACCCGGGAAGTTACTCTTACTAAATCATTTTAATTAGGTTATATATGTAAGTACTCAAAGTAAGTACTTTCTCTATTAAACACCGCATAAATTGTATTCCCCTGTTAACTTGTTAACAAGAACATTATTGTCAAATCTTGTTATTAACAAAAACATTATTATTATTTCCTTGTTAACCGTTTCACAACTGCGCTCGAGGGAAGTTTCCCCGGTGCGCACGATAAATTTATCTATCCGTTCGTCCATTCATCTCTCTATCTGTCTACCCATCTACCTATCTATCTTCGAAGATCACCGACCTACATCGGGAACTCGAACGAAACAAAGGATCTATGGGCTCTTCTGGAGCGTGCTTGAATACGCGCGATTTCCATGCCGAACGGCCGAACGTCTCCTCCGGTGACCTCGCGCTTTCGCTCGCGCCTAATAACGCGTGCATTAAAGATGCGCGCGCTCGCGCGCGGGATAACCAGTCGTGAATAATCATCGTGCAATTATATCGAACGCGTAATTACGGCGCGAAGCGGCCGTACGGCGTATGCGCGCGCAGGCCGAAAGGGACTCCGAACCGTGGACTCGGAACGGGGAAATCGTCGACAGAGTCACCTGGGTGACGTTCAAGTGACGTTGCAACGCAGTCCCGCTGAGAATATTAATTACGTCCTCCCCCCCTTCGCCCTCCCCGCCGCGTCCTGATCCCCTGCGCGCCCCCGGTAGCTCTCTCGGGTTCGAG